CAAAGGAAAGGACTCTGATCATTCCACTCATCATATCCTTTAAACAGTTCTACGAACTATTCACTCACCGTGTCATCACCTGGATCCTACACCCGTACTCTCTGTGACCAAAATAAACTTGATTGTTATACTAACCTGTTGCGTCAGACCTCTTCCGTTACAGAAGACCGGACCAACACCGACGGCACAGATGAGTTCTCCCCACGGCATGCAATCGGCTGCATGTTTCTCCGTCCTTGCTCGCCAGGATCTCCCCTTCTACGAGTACGCCGGGGAGTTTTGCAAGCTCGCAGCGGTGACGGCGATGGATGACGCCACCCTCAACCATCTGTTCTGGCTTAGGGCCAACATTCATCGCCCCTTGGACCTCCCAGACAACACTGGACTGTGTTGGAGAGAAGGTGTATTCCGGTGTCTGGGGAGTGTCCTGTCCCGAGCCAGAACCAGTCCGCCGCCATCCGCGGCTCACCCAAGGCAGCAGGCAGATCCCCAGTTCCGCCCAGGAGGGGCTCCCTATCCCCAGTTCAGCCCAGGAAGGGCTCCCTATCCCCAGTTCAGCCCAGGAAGGGCTCCCAATCCCCAGTTCAGCCCAGGAAGGGCTTCAGGTCCCCAGTTAAGCCCAGGAAGAGCTCCTAATCCCGAGTATAGCGCAGGAAGGGCCCCTGTTTCCCCGTTAAGCCCAGGAAGGGCCTGTGTTCCCAAGTATAGCCCAGGAAGGGCTCCTGTTCCCGAGTTAAGCCCAGGGAGGGCTCCTGTTTCCCCGTTCAGCCCAGGGAGGGCTCTTGATTCCCAGTTCTGCCCAGTGTCGGCTCCAGCCCCAGAGCTCACTCCAGTGTCGGCTCCAACCCCAGAGCTCGCTCCAGTGTCTGCTCCAGCCCCAGAGATCGCTCCAGTGTCTGCTCCAGCCCCAGAGCTTGCTCCAGCGTGTCAATTGGCGATAATGGACATGGCGCTGGCCCCGGGGTTCTCGGCACCCGTCCTCACCCCAGAAACCGTGCAAACACACTTCTCTGAGCCTCCTTCGTCTCCTTCGCCTCCGCTGGTCCCATCCAGCTCTCTTTCGTCGCCTTCGCTGGTCCTGTCCAGCCCTCAAGTGCCCACTCCTCCAGAGCGCCCTCAAGTGCCCGCTCCTCCTGAGCACCCACCAGAGCCCTCTCTTCCTGAGCGACCTCCAGGATTCCTAGATTTCCCCAACAATTTTTTTTGGGGGGGCCATATTTCCGTGGCCGAGCCAGCCAAGGCCACGGAGGATCCACCATGGCCTCCCGAGTCCCCGGCTCCGCCATGGCAACCCGAGTTCCCTGTTCCGCCATGGCCTCCCGAGCCCCCTGATCCACCATGGCAACCTGAGTCCCCTGTTCCGCCATGGCAACCCGGAAAACCCGGTGGAATTGTTACGGCATGGGACGCGCCTTTCGGGAGGGGGGAGTACTGTCACAGATCGGCCAGACTCAGTCACCTCCCAATCACCGCAACCACCTTCACCTGAGTACTGAGCACCTGCACCTGTCACCAATCAAGCACCTCATCAACCAGCCTGCATAAAAGCACACACCTCAGACACCTTCATTGTCCGGTCTCGTACACACGTAGAGGACTCTCTGACTTTACTACTGCTTCCATTTGACTACTTCCTACATTATTTACCTCCTGTGTTCCTCCTAGTGTCTCCTCGTCTCCAAGTGTCTCCTGTTCCTCCTAGTTCCTGGATCGCTGAGGTGTGTGCTCTTCCTGTGTACATTCCAGCTCCTGCAAAGGAAAGGACTCTGATCATTCCACTCATCATATCCTTTAAACTGTTCTACGAACTATACACTCACCGTGTCATCACCTGGATCCTACACCCGTACTCTCTGTGACCAAAATAAACTTGATTGTTATACTAACCTGTTGCGTCAGACCTCTACCGTTACACCTGCAGCTCTACAGATATCCGCTAGAGAGGCCCAGTTCGCCAGGGCTGCTAATGCAGCTATGCCTCTGGTAGAGTGAGCCCTCACTCCCAGTGGGCAAGGTAGGCCTCTGGCTTAATAGGCCATTCGAATCGCATCCATAATCCAGTGGGAGATCCTCTGTCTGGAGACAGCATTCCCCTTCTGCTGTCCTCCGAAGCAGATAAAGAGCTGTTCAGAGCACCTGAAACTTTGAGTGCGATCTAGGTATGTGCGTAGGGCTCGTATTCAGTGCTGAAGTGGTCTCATATGCATCAGTCCCAGCGGCGTGACTGCGGCTGAGAACGCCATATGACCCAGGAGCCTCTGAACGTTTTTGAGAGGGACCGGCGTTTTCTGCTTGAGAGCCCTCAAGCATTTCAGCACTGACTGAGCACGATCCTGAGAGAGGCGTGCAGTCATCGTAACCAAGTCCAATTCTACACAGAGAAAAGAAATACTCTGCACAGGGGAGAGTTTGCTCTTTTCCCAGTTGACCCAAAGTCCCAATCAGGCTAGGTGGTCGAGGACCATGTCCCTGTGTGCGCAAACCAATTCTCGCAAGTGAGCTCAGATCAGCTAGTCGTCGAGGTAATTGAGAATGCAAATGCCCACTTCCTTAAGCGGGGCATGGTCAGCCTCTGCGATCTTCATAAAGACGCGAAGAGACAGGGACAGCCCGAAGGGAAGAACCTTGTACTGATATGCCCGTCCTTCGAAGGCAAGTACGCATGCAACGGCCTGTGCCTTGGTAGGATTAAGACATGAAAGTACGCATCCTTCAGGTTATGTGGTCTATTGCCACAAACTAATCCTGATCTCTGACACATGTTAATATGTGCTTGAGGGTTAACATGCTGAACGGAAGCTTGTGAAGGGCCCGGTTCAGAGTCCTCAAATCCAGGATTGGTCTGAGCCCCCACCCTTCTTGGGTACAATGAAGTATGGGCTGTATAACCCCTTCTTCATTTCGGCCAAGGGAACAGGCTTGATTGCACCCTTCTTGAGAAGCCGAATGGTTCTGAGGAGCCATCGGGAGGGATTGGAGAGGCTTGACCAAGCATCCAGATACCCTGCCAACGGTCTCAAAGGAACCATGTTTGATGTACCTCGGGCAGGGTTCCTGTGGCTGAGCGGAATGGAAGGCGCTGTGGTAGGAAGTGAACTGTCCTGTGAAACACGCAGCGCCTTGTCCGCAGGGTCTGACACATGTGCCACTGACGGATGAGGGTGATAGACCTTTTGCATCTGAACGTGAGGAGACAGAGTGTCTGTGTCCAAACAGGTTCTGATGCATGGTTTCAATGTATGGCCGTCGCAAATGTGAGGGCCAAAAACGTTGTGTGTATGACCCAGAGAAGAAGGAAATTGCTCTTTTATTGACCAAGTGGTGGCTATCTGCAAGGTGACAGACAGCCGTGGTGGAGCCGAATCCACCTCCCGTCCACCAGCCAGAAGTGTATCCAGGCTGGCCAAATGGTCCCTCCTCCCTTGGTTGCCCGTCTC